TTATTCACTAGGGTAAGGCTCAGTCCTGGAAAACTTTCACTACTCAGAAAAGCCAATAGTCTGCTAAAGGCAGTGTGTCCTGTGCTATCTTGTTGGACTGTCTTCCCTTTTGTTCTGAGCTCAATTGTGAAATGAGGGTGGGAGGCTGGAATTTCACTGGCTGCAGTTTGTCTCAGCTTTGATTCTGTGCGCACAAAAGAAACTGCACAGCGTTTCAGTGCTGGTCCACGTGAAGCTCAAGAGTATTTTGAGAGCTCTCAAAGACTGACTAAAAACACAGATTGTTCAGAGATTCCTGCAGCTCCTTTGGACAGCTTTCATGGGTTAACAGGGGAGCACCAAAAAGCTGTGGTCTAGGAATGCAAGTGAAGATATAAAACCAGTCTGTTTTGATAGGATGAATCTGCTTTTAACCTCCTAATTATTGCCCTCTCAAACAACAGTTGAATAGTGCAAGAGCACAAAATTTCTAGTATGGGCAATGCATAAAGCAGAAACTAATAGATAGATATAGTGAACAAAGTGACTTCCAAAGGAATAAGAGCATCTGGCTTGTTTGAAGATGCTTTCTTTGATACTAATGCCATACCTTTTGCAATTCTATGTTCCATATCTAAACTGTACCAAAATAGAAGCTATTCGTTTGTGGTTGTGTTCTGCTTCATTCCCACTGTGCTCGTGTCGATAGGATGAAAGAAGCCTCTTGCTCTTTCAGCCTCTTTGGTCCATCTTGGTAAAAGCCTTTTGCAGCTCGTGAGCTGTGATTGCCAACTGTGGGACAGCTCAAGAGCTGCCAGGTCTGCAGGGAGCTACTGACGGCACACAAAGTTTCTGTCCTCTGCAGCAAGTGTTTACTAAAGCTGCTTTAATATTTAATCTCTTTGTGCATTGAGCCTGTATCTGTGTCGTAGGGAAAATACCTTCAGTAATTCACGTGCACAAAGGAGACAGTCAACACTGATGTTGAATTAACTCACAATAGCTATATATTCAGGGAACAGATATTTCTAAAGAATTAGTTCTGATGTTTGAGACTCAAATACCTGTATGTTCAATTGTTCTTGTCCTCACTGTGGCAAAATATAAGCTTTACCTGAATCTGACAAAACTGATTTGTGTACCACAAATGGGCTCTTGAACCAAGTTGTCTTTTTTTAGGAGTGTAATTTAATGCTGCTGAGTTGGACTGTGTGCTTTGGTTTTGGTTGTTTTGGTCTTTTTTTGTTGTACCTTTGCTCTCATAATACTTGATTTCCCTGCCAGAGTGGTAAAGGGTTAATTATTTTGAGACTGGCAGTTCCCGAGTAACACCTGCTTGTCAGAGCGTGTTGCTTCTCTGCTGCCAGCAAATGGATTCCAACTATGGTTTCATGCTCAGATTGTAGATCAAAATATTTTGCATCACTTTTGGTAGGTTATTTTCGTAAAATGTGGCAATTTCCTATATACACACGTATATGTATATTTTATATATACATATAAAGGTTTATTTTAGGCTTCAACAGAAGTCAAAGATTGAGCCAGCACTTTAAGGTTGTTGTAGCATGAAGAAAGGTGTGTACAATTCTCCAGATCTTGAAATTGCTGTACAAATATGCTGAAAACACAATATGTGTATGGAAAATAAAGTTAACTAAGGTGTTTATAAAGCTTTGTGTTAGTGTAAGTAGACACGCATGCCATTTCTGAGACCTTTTCCAAAGGGATTGTCAACGTGCCTGGGTCTGGATGTTGGTGGGCAAACAGAAACTTTTGCTTCTAAGCTGTTCACACACTTACGTCCCAATCAGTTGATTTCTTTGTTGATTGGATCGAAGCATGGGTCCAGCATCTGCTAAAGGATTGTCTGCTTCATGGATCCTTCCAATTGACAGGTAGGGAATAAATATAAATAAAGTTTTGTCCTGTTGCTAGCTGGAGAGCTGTTAGTTTCATGGCCTGAAGCATGAAGGGTTCGGTTTCCTTTCAGGATGCTACAGAAATATAAATGTTTTAAAAGAGCAAAAGCAATTGGCAGGTGGGGAAATGTTTGTGGGTTTAACTTATTTCTGATGTCAAAGGAAGATCCACTACCATGGCAGCATCTTCCTTAGCAGAAGCTGGTTTCTGTTGATCAGAACATGACCTTTCAGATAAGTTGTGTAGGCAGAACGATTGTGTTGCCCTAGCTCTGTAGGTGTCATGTGGATAACCACATCTGAGCAAAATTAGAATCATAGAATAGTTTGGGTTGGAAGGGACCTTTTAAGGTCATCTAGTCCAACTTTCCCCTGCAGTGAGCAGGGACGTCTTCAACTAGATCAGGTTGCTCAGAGCCCCATCCAGACTGACCTTGAGTGTTTCCAGGGATGGGGCATCTACCACCTCTCTAGGCAACCTGGTCCAGTGTCTCGCCACCCTCATCGTAAAAAAATTTCTTCCTTGTATCTAGTCTAAATATACCCTCTTTTAGTTTGAAACCATTACCCCATGTACTATCACAACAGGCCCTGCTAAAAGGTTTGTCCCTATCTTTGTTTTAGGCCCCCTTTAAGTACTGAAAGGCCACAATAAGGTCTCCCCAGAGCCTTCTCATCTCCAGGCTGAACAACCCCAACTCTCTCAGCCTGTCCTCACAGGAGAGGTGCTCCAGCCCTCTGATCACTTTTGTGGCCCTCCTCTGGACCCGCTCCGAGAGGTCCATGTCCTTGTGCTGAGGGCTCCAGAGCTGGATGCAGTACTCCAGGTGTTGTCTCACCAGAGCAGAGTAGAGGGGCAGAATCACCTCCCTCAACCTGCTGGCCACGCTGCTTTTGGTGCAGCCCGGGATACAGTAGCCTTCTGGGCTGCAAGCGCACATTTTCACCTCATTGTAGAAGGCCACTAGGTTGGTCAGGCAGAACTTGTCCTTGGTGAAGTCGTGCTGGCTGTCTCAAATCACCTCCTTGTCCTCCATGTGCCTTAACATAGCTTCTTAGGAGGATCTGTTCCATGACCTACCCAGGCACAGAGGTGAGGCTGACAGGTCTGCTCTGGTAGGAGCGTCTATTACCTGGCTTAAGAAGTTATCCTCCATGCACTCCAGGAGTCACCTGGATTGCCTACAGCTCGCCACGCTACTTTTCCAGCAGATATCGGGGTGATTGAAGTCCCCAGCACGACAAGAGCCTGCGAGCGCGATGCCTCCTGTAACTGGAGTAGGAGGGCTTCATCAGTAGGCTCCCCTTTGATTGGGCAGCCTGCAGTAAACACCAACCACAAAGTTCCCTTTGTTGCCTCAGTCTCCAGTTCTTACCCATAAGCTTTCAACCTGCTCGTGGCTATTCTTCAGAGACAGCTCTTCACACTCTTATCTATTTCTTGATGTAGAGGGCAATGCCTCCGCCCCTCCTTCCTCACCTGTCCCTTCTGAACAGCCTGTAGCCATCGATAGCCGCAAAATTAGTTCGTAAACTACCTCTGGTTCAGGTTTTTAACAGTTCTTAATAAATAGTTTTTGTCAGATGGTTAGCGTACAGTGAGTCTTATTGTACTGGGCTTCTGAACTCTTTGGCCCTCAAAAGTTAATCAAGTGCTCAAAATTCTAGGATCACATTGCGTGCTGCTTTGAAATTCAGTCCCTGACTGGTTAGTTCAGGCAGCTGAAGCCACAAACTGCATCTCTTACACCAGTGTTTTAAGAATGGTACCACAGAGTTAATTTTACTGTAGTCACTTTATTTTTAATACAAAAAATGACTTCTTAGAGACTTATATAGATCAGGAGATGATGGCAGATTAAGTACCTGGACTAGGATGTAGGACAAACATACCATAATGCTCTTGTTCAGTCAGTAATTTTAGTAAGTGTGCTTCCCAACTAGTACATTATCCTAAGGTGTCCTGTCCTGCTGTGTTCTCATAGCCCGTAACGTGCAGAGTGTATTTAATCTCTGTCAAATACGAAGGCTGTACACCCATGGGCCCGGCGGGTCAGGCTGCCCGCGCAGCAGAGGTTGCTCAGGTGAGCGGCACTCTGCTCGGAACAGGGCGAGTGTGCTTCGTAGGTCTTTGGGGATGATAAATTGATGACTTCACTAATACCAGCATCGACCCCTTAACGATGGAACAACTAAGCATTTCCCTGTGGTTTTCTGCAGCGTTATAGCTGTGACCTCTCTGGAACAGGGAAGAACAGGCCTGAAATATTTGGGGCAGGAGGGCAGGTGGGAGTCTAACATGTTTCACTGTGCCTGAACAGGGGAAGGAGGAGCCGTCACCCCGCGTTCCGTGACAGGGAGAGAAGAGCTCCTTTCACTCGTCCCAGCCTAATAGACTCAATGAGGATTCCTGGGACAGAGAGAAGTACTGGAGTGAGGAGGAGGAGGGAGAAATGCATTAATCTTCCCACTTCAGAAAGGAACAGTTGGAAAGGTTCAAGGGCAAATGATTTTCTCTATGGCCTTTGCTCCAACACCTTGGGTGTGCTGAACAAGCTGCGTAAAATGCTGCAGTCAAGATGCTCCTGGTGCTGGAGATCCTAGGAGGCATTTTGAGTTCTGCCATTTTCACTTTTTAACTGTGTCATAGCAGACATAATCCAGATTTTTTGCTGTTTATTATTTTAACAAGATTAGTGCTAATAAACTACCCTCTTGTTAGGTTTTGCCTGAGAAATACACATAAAACTACAGTAAAGATTAAAGCCAGGAAAAATGCATTCCACAGCGGTCACTCATAAAAGACCTTATGAAAATAGTGTTCAGATACCAGAGTTTTTTTTAATCAAAACTGAAATGCTTTTGCAGGTTCTCTGCCCAGGAGATAACTTTTAATTTTTACTAATAATGATTTACATCAGATGATGAAAAATGTGGTTCCATGCTCCATTGCATCTCATTTGTTTCCTAACTATGAACAAAAATAAATTAACAAAAATCTCCATGTGCCTGTTTTTCCTAGCAGAAAAAAATGCTGGCTTTATGCTTTAAAAGGAAAAAGCCTCTGATTGACTTAACCTAAGTGCCCAGTGTTTGCGGTGGCTACTTTCCAATGCTGAGTGTGAAGATGATTCGGCCCAGGAAGCGGTCGCTGTTAACATTGTTGATAATACCTTTCCCATTCAGGCTGCACTGAATGTGGACCAAATAATTCTTCTTCACATCTGTAAAGTGCATAGCCACCAGCGGGGATGTATAGTTGACCTGGAAAGAAGGGACATTTAAGTGTCATTAAGCAGGCAGTGCTTTCATGTTCCATAAAAATCATTAGTAATTGGTTCACTGTTCCCAGGCCTCTGCGTTTGCCTGATGTCCATCATGGTCCCTTGGGATGCTGGAGCTGAGCCTTTCTGTGCCTGCGCATCAGAGGGAGGGGATCATGGCCATATTTTGCACTGCACCATGCCTCTTGGGTTGATTAGCTAGGACAAGCAACACCAGATGATGGGACTCTCAAATACTTTTTTTGCTGTTCCAAAACCCAACCTATGGCTTATAATAAGAAATCTGCGGTGATCCTCTGATCTGTGTGCCCAAAGGACATGCCGGCCTGGAGTCTGGGGCTGTTACTCACCCTCAGCCAGCAGCAGTGTGACAACAGGAGTCTCGTGCCTACCTCATTTTCCATTTCAGCGTTTGTTGTGAAGGCGCGTTAACTCCTAACGCTCTACAGCCTATCACAGACCAAAGCAGTGCTGGCCAGCATGTTCAGAAAGAGCCACCGATGTCAGGCTGCTGTGTTTTCACCCACCCGCCTGCAGTGGTTTTGTCATAGCTTTGACAGAAGCCCCTTTTCTTTCCTCTTGTGTCACCGAACCCCTGACTTCCCTAACACCCTGGGAAAATGCTGGTGTTGAGACCTTCTCCGGGAGTTAGCAAAGCCAGTCTTAGTCTCCAGATGATAAATGTAATCATTGCCATTGCTGGCAAGGGGGAACCGGAGTCCCGAAGGATTTCCCGCAGTTTGTCAAAGACAGAAATAGAGTGCTGTAATCCCAGTGCCCGTGGCCTCCCTCCTGCCTGCATCTGCCCAAAATAGCCAGAAAGCACATCTGTACTCTGTGCAGCAGCTCCTGCCCTCTCCTTCCCAAGGAGACATAACAAAGATGCCAGAGTCCTTACTTACATGAGTGAACTTGCCGTAGTAGGGATAATACATGAGATCAAATGTCCCGTTTCCGGGGTAGAAGTCCACCGATCTGAGATCGCTCTCATTGCCTTTCTGTGATTGGAAAAAAAAATAAAGGTACACACACAGCACGTGGGACACAAAATACAGCTCCCTTCAGAGTGAGGTGAAGGAGCTTTAATACAGGCATCTCTCGCAAATCCACATCAGGGCTCCGCTGCGCCTGCCTGCACGCAGCGTGTTCACCGTGACAGCCAGCTGATGCTGCAGCGAGCCAGAGCATAATGGTGCTATGAAGGCACAGGTGAGGGTTACAGAATTTGGTGCCTGCCAATGCCTCCCTGTGCTTGCCTACTGCTTTATTGCTCTCTAAGGGTACGATCCAGCCGCTGCCAGGGCAGTGGGAGCCCTTCCTTCACCCTATTGCTGTAGGCTTGGGAGGTGCTCCCCAGCACCAAGGGTCCTGCAGAGCGGGTGGGGATGGATGTGAGCAGCTCCTACCTCTTCCCCCCCAGCTCCAGGCTCTAGCTGGCACCCCAGCACCCAGCCTTGTGGGCCTGACAGTGATGCTGGCAGGAGCCAGCCGTGCTCAGAGGGTGAGGGCCAGGGTGGGAAGCAGGAGACTAGTGGCCTCTGTTGTTCTCAGCAGATCAGCCTCAACTTGCGCCCAGAGGCATCGCCAATGCTGGGTCCTGTGAGTGTTTGGGGCTGAAATGATGAGAGATATAGGTTGGGTGCATCAGAGGGAGAGATTTGAGCTTCTACACACCACGCTGCCGAGCACAAACGAAAGCAGTACCTGCACTTTGCAGTCCACGCTCACGGGGACCCCAGCACCAGGGCGGTAGCCTATGATCTGCAAAAACAAGAGACACCCGTGCTTGTATGAAATGCAGTGCCAAGCGCCTGCTGCCTCCCTTCTCCAGGGCGTAAGCTCTTCTACGTGCCAGTCACGTTGCTGGGACAGGAGTTACATGTCCCTTGAAGCAGGGTCTGCCAGCCCGTGCGGTGCAGCCTGCCCGTGCCTGAGTGCGGGATTGGTGCCGGAGACCAGAGGGAGAGCAGAGCATCCAGACAGCCCAGACTCACAGCTCACACACCCCACACACATTTCTCTTCCCAGCAGTGTGCACTGTGCCACCATGCTACCAGCAGATTTCTAAATAAACTCGATTCTATGAAAATTCCCATTATAAAGTGATTGGGGTCTGAGGTGTGGCCCTAAACCTCAGTTCCTCCCACACAGGGGTCTGGCACAAGACCCTCCAAGCACTCAGGCCTCAGCAAACCAAATTGAGCAAGTTTTGTAGTGTTTCTTTCTTATGTTTTCTAGCAGGTATGAGCCAGCAGGTTTGGGGATTCTAGTTCCCTTTTTCCCTGGGCCTGAGAAGTGGAGGAGTTTCGGTCCCTGCATGGTCTTTACTCTGTCACGCTGGGATGCACTGAAGGAAGGGATTTTTAGGGCTGGCCTTTAGAGTAGCCAAATGTTGGATCCTCAATGCCAGAGCAGTTCTGCAGCAGTGAGCGCTTGAACTGGCAGGCCTTCTTCTCCTCGCTTTCGTTGCCCCCTTGGATGAAGTACTGTCCTGAGACGCACTCAATATTCTTCTCCTCTTGAACTTTGTCATCATAAGCTGGTGGGGACCAAGAGACTTGTTAATGTTTCTTAAGACCTGCACAGACCCATGGTCTCAGAGTACATCCGCATGTCAAGGGAGTTAGAAAGTCCCACTGGGAAAGGCAAGGCATCTCTCCCACAGAAGGTCCTGTGACCACCTTATGACCCTTCCTTTCTAGGTGGGGGTCGTGAGATGCCGAGAGCTGATCCACGCCCCAGAAGGAGACCCCTGCACTGTGTGCATGGATACAGACCATGGCCAACATCGCTCCTGGGGTGCCTAAGGGCTTACCTGCTAGGAAGTGCTGCATGCTGTCCACGTAGGGTCGCCATGTGCTGGGCTGAGAGACGTTGAAGGCAATGGTGAACCCATTCAAGTATGGTCTGATCATTACTCCTGGAGAAGGAAACAGACCCCGTTAGAGCAGACACGGGTGGATGGACCACAGGCTTGTTGCACTATCACTGGGCTTGGGGCTGGGCGCAGGCACAAGAGCAGCACCACCAGCTCACAGATAAACTCTCTCCTCAACCTGCTGATCTTTCACCTCCATTTCATGCCCAGAGAACACCATGAACATCAAAATATCCCAGGGAACATGGGAGACCTGGAGGGTTTCAGCAGCACTGCAGGAAAGCGACAGGCTTGGGGCTGCACAGGGAGGCTGAGGGGTCCCCATGCTCCCAGTCACACAGCCAGCTCCTGGCAGGGAGCAGGGTGAGGGGGCCTCATGTTCCCCACTGACATGAAAACACAGGGAAAATGCTGCTTCTCACATAGGAAAAGTAGTTTTTTAACATTATCTTGTCGAATAATAATGCATAAAACCTACTCTTGACCAGCGTTTTATTTTGAAGATATAAGGTATAAAGGGCCAGCAGCTGAAATGAAGGGACATCACCTATGAAATGCCTAAACTTGCCCGTGCCCATTTACCTTGAGAATAATTAGCCTAATAATTAGCATAATAAGAATAACAATTAGTACAGTTAGAATGAATGCTTCACATGGGGCTATATAACACGTCTGATCCTCTGCAGAGAACCTGCAGCCCGGTCAGTGCCCCCAGGTAGGTGGTAACACCCCGTGTTATGGAGAGCTGGTTGCCCGTAAGAGTGTGCATCTCCAGCAGGGCTTTACCCGCGGTCCCTGCCATGCCATTTCGGTAGCACTTGGCTGGGCAAGTGCCAGCAGAGGTGCCCGGGGCCGGGCTGGCTGGGGTACGTACCTGGTGGAGACACGCGGTCCCGGTAGGTGGGTGTGTAGGGGCTCAGGGTGAGCAGCATCACATACATGCAAAAGGCAAACATTCCTGCCAGGCACGTATAGAAAATGAAGTAAAACAGTAAGATCAAGCCTGCAAAAGAGAGAGAGGGCATGTTGCTGTTAGCACAACCAGAGCACGTCCCACGGGCTGCGTCCTGCAGGGATGCTCAGCTATGCTCAGCACAGCATCCTCTGCAGCTCTGAGTCCATTGTGGAGGTGGGAGCTCGCAGCCCCGCTCCACACACAGACCCTGGCATTTTGGGGTGCAGGACTCTCACCCAGACACACTCCCTGCCCAGCCCTGGGGCCGGGTCAGCTGCCCTTTGGCTCTGTACCCCTTTTGCTGCATGGCCCTTCCCAGAGCTGGGTCAGGACCAGGTCTGTGTGTCCACCTGCCTCAGCTCTCTCCAACAGACAGACCCAACCTTGGCTCTTGCCCTTCCCCCCCTTGGCATGGTAACATGTGAGGGTACCCAGTGGCTTCAGCACTTCCGAATTCCCAGTGGGGACTGTGGGGTGATGCTCCTTCCCCAACTCCCATCTCCTGCACGGCAGGGACCCCTCTGCTGGGACTGAAGGAAGCAGCATCGCTTGGGGGCTGCAGCATCGCTTGGGGGCTGCAGCACCGCTCAGGGGCTGCGGCACCACTGGCTGTTTCATAGCCCTGAGTTCCAGGGAATGGGTTTGTTTTTCCTCTGGACCAGGCTGATGGCTGAGGATGTCTCAAGAGGCCACGGCCTATGAATAAAACCCAGCGACTCAGAAAGCCTAACCCAAACATTTCCCAGGAGAAACGTGCCGGCAGCTCAGAGGGAGCCTTGGGAACGCAGATGTGCACTCCTGCCGTGCTTCTGATGGGGCTGTGGTGCTGGGAACCACTGCAGGGCCATGTCCTGCTGCTGGCCGAGACGGGGCTGATGGGACCATCACCGCTGCTGCTGGCGCAGCAAGGACAGCGTCCAGCCCTGCCACAATGATGCTGGGATGGTGCCTCTGCACCAGCCTGGTGGGGCAGGAGGGGCCGCTGGGGTGCCAAGCTGATGCCTGTTGGGAAACGGTGCTGCTACCGTTCCCACACTTACGTTTCCTACAACACAGCAGGAAGCGTTGTCACCGGCAGAGCTGGGGGAGCCGCCTTTCCCAGGGACTGGGACCTCCAGTGCTGACCCTGTGACCAGCTGGCTCCCTGCATTTTGGCCATGCACCTGCCCTGACACCCTCCCCCTTTTTTCCCCCCCCACCTTGAGGAACACCTTCAGGGCCAGCATGAGGGAGCAGTCCCAGGCTGGACAAAGCCCCTCCTCCTCACCCATGAGATCAGAGCGGGGCAGTTCAGCTCCATTCACCTCCAAATGCTCTCATTTTAAAAGAAAATTTGATCATAATAGTAGCTTCAATGTAGCTCTCTCCTGCAACCCCTGTATGGGCATGTGAGCCCACACGCATGTGCAGCTGGGGATATGTGTATCCATAGGGCAACAGGGCCATATAGGACACCACAATGCTCCCTGGGTGCAGGAGGACACTGCACCCTCCCTGAAGCTGCAAATAAATAATTTCCAGCAGTAGCCACCCGGGGCCACATCCACACCAGCCTGAGCAAGTCCTCCCACAGGGCTTTTCTCAGCACCTGGCAGAGCCTCCAGAAACCCAAACCCACATCCCTAAGGACTGTCACCCCTGTACTGCTCCCACACATCCAGCGAAGGACCAGCAAAACCAGGCTGCCTCCGCAGCTGGCAAGGGGCATGGGGGAGCAAACGTGGATTTCAAGGTCTGTCCCAGACTCATGCTTGTCGGTTTTCGGACTCCTCCGGTGCTCGTGGGCAGTTTCCTTTGTTTCTCGTGGCTGTCCCCACAGGCTTTGCAGAAAACCCAGAGCACTTGGTGGGGGCACAGGCAGGCTGCGGGGCTTGCAAGAGCATTGCCAGTGCCATCTGCCGAGGGCTGCAAATTCTGAGCAGCAGCCCCCAATAATTTGCAGCCTTACACGGGTGTGGATGTGCCCATGACGCTGGGCTAGGGTTGGGGATTTTCACTCTGCTGGGGGGGGGCATACACTGTCAGAAGAACAGAGCTGCAAAGGTGGATGGCATCGCGTGTGTTGTGGCACCTTGGTCTCTGAGCCAGCAGCAGTGCTTGCCCCGCAGCCGTGGGCTGCTCTTAACCACCCGGGGCACCTCCAGGACCAGCGATAATCTTTGAAGGCCACATGGATATGGATTAAATAGACATGGTGCTCAAACCCCTCTCTGGCACATCCCAGCCCACCGGCCCCAATAGCACCTGTGGGCTCTGCTGCGGGTGCCGCGTCCCACCACAGGAAGCTGTGGTGTGACAGTGACCAGCCCTTCCCTCTCCAGAGCCGGGGCGCACCCAGGCAAGGAGGGCTGCTCAATCCCATGGTGCAAACCCTCCCCTAAACGCCTGTGCCGCAACCTGGGCTCTCTTCCCTCACCAACACTGATGACCCCAAAGCCACCTCCCCATGGGCTCCTGACTTACACAGACAGGAGCCGGGTCGCTGGTGGCAGCAGGGCTGCGTGGCTGTGGCAGACCAACCTGCAGCCCCCGCACTTGGTCAGGCTCTTAATTTCTTCCCAGTACACGGTCCGGGCAGCCCAAAATCTTTGTTTTTATGTTCTCAGTAAACGTTCACATCCAAACCAAGAGTAACTTTCCCAAAGTTTTATGCTTGTCCTCCTCACTAGTTCTTTATTGCGCTGGTTAGAAATATCTACCCTGACAATGTGGGACAGGGGTGGTCAGTCCAAGCTATCAAGGACGTTCACAGGCAAGTGTATCCATTGTGAAGCAGAAAAGGCAACAATCCCAGAAAGTGGGGCTCAAGCAAGGACCTACCCCAGCTCTTGGCTGTTCTCCCCAGGCATGTTCTCTCCTCCGGGTTCCACAGGAACATCTTCATCTCCCCAGCCAGGTCTGCCCAGGTTTTGCTCCCCATCTCTGCCTTGGTCTCGTCCTCCCCTCTGTCAGGATCCTGGACTTTCTCCTCGTGCTTATTTTCCTGGAGGAGTTACAGAACACAACCCCCACACGCAAGCTGAACATCTCATTGGCCAAAAATAAATGCAAAAGCACTTAATAGCTGGAAATGTTTCAAATTTCCATTTTCCCATCATCACTCTTGAGTTAAAGAGAGGCAGTTTTGGCTGTTCTGACTTGAGATTGCTTAGATCCCAGCATCCATTTTTCCATGACATGTACGTCACTGCCCTCACACCAGGTACTGTCTCCTTGTCCTGGCACTTACAGAAACTCATCTTTTTGCACCTGCATGAACATGACAAAAGCAAACGTGTGAGCTGGGAGGGCCAGGCTTGTTCCCACGCTTCTGCAACACCTCTGAGCTCAAGTGCACGTTTTCTGTGATACCACAGATGACAGCAGGCGGCATTATTTAAGAGGTCATCCAGTTTGTTTTTCTTGGCATGTGAGCAAGTGTTTAGTCTTTGGAGAAATCCCTGTGTTGTTATTTTTTAAATTACACTAAGTTCCAGGGAAAAGCATCTCCCCAGGCGGTGAGAGTTTGCTTTTTGCCTCGGTGGTGAAAACTCATTTGGCCGGAGCTCGGGACACAAATCTCTTTGTACTTATGCCTGGCCAAGACTTGCTTGAGAGGAGACACAGCAGCTGTCCCTAACCCCCCTTGAACCTGGGCAGGCTCCGTGTCTCCAAAAGCAGGCAGTGAGGTGGGAGAGGGTGCAGACCTCGCTTCAAGCTCAGGGCCGGGCTGGGTCAGGTACTGCTGGGCAGAAGGGGTGATGCCAAGATCTGGATGGGTTCATCACCTCCCCGCGCTTTAATGCAAATGGTGCTGCAGGGCTCCGCAGCTCCCAGCTAGCTCGGGGCTATGCTTGGCCAAGGCCACCATGCCCACTGCGAGCGTGGCCCCACAGCAGCTGCACCAACATTATCGCCCTGTGTCTGCACCCAGGGCCACGCAAACCCGCTGGCCTTGGGCGCCTGTTGGAGCCAGGGCCCACCAGCAAGATATTTACACCCCATGAGTCGCCGTGGGGGAGCTGGGAAGCCGCAGACAGCCTGGCAGAAAGTCTGGCTTGGAAACACCTTTGAATCGGAGGGGATTAAACCCTGCGCAGACACACAAGTATGGCAACACAGTGAGAATGGGGGGACAGCACCAACTCCAAAGCCTGAATTCGTGCCTTGGGGAGCCTGGGCCAGACCCAGGGGGGCTGTAAACCATCACCATCCCACTGATTGCTCCAATCAGACTCAGTTAAAGCCCCGGTGGGGCTCTTCTGGGAGCACGCCTGCGTCAGAGCGCTGCTGCCAGCAAAATGCCTGCGGCCGCCCATACAGCAAAGGCAACGCTTGGCCCCGGTCCCGCACTCTGGGGCTGGAGCCCTTCCTAAGCCAGCTCCTGCATGGCCACAGCCCTGTACCACGCAGGGCTGATGAAACCACAGGATTTCGGAGCAGGGAAGCAGCAGCCCCAGCACAAGTCACCAGCAGGGACATGGGAGAGGAGGTGCAGGGGTTGCTGGCTGCCAGGACACCAACAGAGGAGCAAGTGATGGAAGAAGAGAAGGAGGAGGAGTCCTCCTTCCTCCTGCTCTCCTCCCCATTAAATAAAAGAGCTACCAGCAGCTGTTCTGGAAACATTTTCTCAGACTGCTGGAGTTGCGGGGACTGCTTGGAGGGACTCTGCACCAATACTTGGTGTTGCTTTGGGAAAAGCCCTTTGGATTTCACACCAGCTGCAGCTCGGAGGCAGTGAGGGCAGCACATGGGCTGTATGCAGAGCCCTCGCCCAGAAGCTGCTGCTGATGCTTTGAGCTGTTGGGGGACACAGGGATGGACCCCCATGGCCTCTCTCCCGGGGAACCCCACGGCTCTGGCCTGCAGAAGGCTTTTGCAAGGAGGGAAAAGTATCCACACTGCATATCCAGCACTCAGTGAAAGGTCCCATCCTGCCAGCTGGGAGAGGCCACAAGGGCTCCATGGCAGTGCAGGAAGGCTGAGGGGGGCCCGGTCTCTCCCCACGGGCAGGGAGGTCTGCATGGGGCAGCTGGACAGGAGGGAATGACCCCACTGCCAGGTCTCTGGTGGAAGTCCCCAAGCAAGGGAGCTAGGTTAGGTCTGGATTGTGACCCCTCCCAGGTGTTTTATCTTTGCAGCCCAGGACCAGAGATCATTTTGGGCAGTCCCTTGCACCTGGACAAAGAGCAGCAGGAGCCGGGGTAGAAGCATGCTGGGGCAGGGAGGGGGCACAGGCGCAGTGGGACCTATTGGGACACTGGACAGCCTCAGGCTGCTGCCTGCCATGGCAGCTGGGGTGACTCTGGGTGGCAAAGCAGAGCTGGGGTTCATCCTTGGAGGGATCATGCTGTTCTGACAGTCGTGGCTGCCCTGGGGGAGACCAGAGGTTTTCCCCCATCCT